AATTCTTCACTGATACCATGTTTAACTTCTTCCTATTTGACAAGAAATCCCCTTTTAAATAGACTGAAAACAAGTCGATTTAAAAAGTACCAATCTTAGTGATTAAAGCAATTAACATACTTACTTATTGACCCGTTACTCCCAATGGAGCATAGGTTGCGGACCAATATTCGCCAACCTACTCCGTCCAATTTTTATTCATTCTTCTCATGTCAGTCTCCATTTCTCGGCGTAATATGTTCCTTGGCCTTCCTTTTTCCCTATGACCTTGAGGGTTCCAACTGAGGGCTTATCTCGTGGCGCAGTTAGGTGCTCTCCGCAATATATGTCCTGTCTATTCCCACCGCTTCTTCCTGATCTCCTCCTGCTCTGGAATCTTTTTCGTTCTTTCCCACAGTAGACTGTTGCTGATGGTGTCTGGCCAACCGATCTGAAGTATTTTGCGTATACAACTGTTAATGAATACTTGAATCATCTGAACGATGGCTTTCGTGGTTCTCCAAGTTTCCGCTCCATATAACAGAACGGTCTTGACACTTGTATGAAAATTCTGATTTTGGTGTTTGTTGATAGTTGTTTTGAGTTCCAGATATTCCTCACTTGTAGAAATACAGCCCTTGCTTTGCCGAGTCACGCCTTCACATCTGCATCATATCCACCTGGCTCGTCAATGATGCTGCCCAGATATGTAAATGTTTTTATATCCTCCAAGACATCTCCATCAAGAGTGATTTGGTTGGCGCATGTGTTGTATCGCAGTATCTCTCTTTTCCTTCTATGTATGTTGAGACCTGCTGATGCTGATGCTACACTAGTCATCTTCTGCATTTGTTGTTGCGTGTGTGATAGAAGAGCCAGATCATCTCCATAAGTCCAGCTCAATCCTGGCAGCCCTGTGTATACCGTGCTTCCCTCCAGAGGTCGACGTCTTCATAATCCAGTCGATCAGCAAGGGAAAGAGAAAGTGAGAGTAAGCAACCTTGCCTGACACTGTTCTCCACCTTGAACGAGTCAGTCAGCTGTCCTCCATGTACGATTTTGCAGTTTAATCCATCTTAAGAATTCCGTATGAAATTAACGATCTTCTGAGGGACGCTGTAGTGCTGAAGAGGTTTTCATAGTGTTGTCCTATCTATGCTATCAAATGCTTTTCACTGGTTGTTCTCGTTCAAGATAGTTTCCAGCGAGCTTCTTTGTTGTATTGTACAACTATCTCAAGTTTCCTTCTCTTGTAGTCTTTTCCACCGTCGTTGCTAGATCTTCTACATATTTCCATTTGTCTGCTCTGATGCTCCTCTTCAGTTGCTTGCTTGCTTATTTGTGCTCAGCTTGTACCTTGGCTTTGTCTGCTCTTGTTAGGCTGATGTTGATTGCTGCCTTCTTGTTCCTCCTTTCTTCAATTTTATCAAGAGTACCAACAGAGATCCATTCTTTATGATAGTACTTCTTGTGGCCAAGAACCTCGTGACATGTTGAAGTGATTGTCGCTTTGATCCCTATCCAATTGTTCTTCATGGTTGTTTCTCCTTCATTGAGTAGATCGTGCACGGCCTGGAACCTATTAATGAGGGTTATCCTGAATTCGCCGTACTGAACCTTTGTAATGTTGTTCGCCCTGTTTCCCTGAGCTTCTTGAGTTTAAGTTTCATTTTGGCGACCAGCAAGTGGTGATCTGATGCTATATCAGCTCCTCTCTTGGATCTCACATCCTCCATGCTCCTTCTGAAAATTTTTTTGATGCATATATGATCGATTCGGTTTTCAGTAGTGTGATCTGGTCAAATCCATGTACCTTTGTATATGCGTTTGTGTGGGAATATTATGCCGCCGACGACCAGTTTGTTGAAGACACACAGGTTTGCAAATCTCTCACCCTTTTCGTTGCATCCTTCCAGTCCCTATCGTCCCATGATGTCTTGATATCCAGTGTTGTCCATGCCAAACTTGGCAATTAGGTCTCTCATCAGAATCGTCAAATCCTTTAATGAGCATCTGTGGACGGCTGGCTGAAGCCTCTCGTAGAATTGATCTTTAACGTCCTAATTGTAATCGTTGGTGGGCACATAGCACTAGATGACGTCCATTGTAGTACGCTCTTTCTTCGTTTTGAAGCATGCTTTGATGATCCTGGGTCCATGAGATTCCAATGCTGTCAGTATCTTTTGTGCTTGTTTGGAAAGCATCAGTGCAACTCCTTGTGTGTGAGGCGTTTTCTTCTTCATGGCTGGAGTGTAAAAGCAGCTCTTCTGAAGCTAGTGTTAGTTGTCCAACCTGCGTCCAATGCGTTTCACTGATTCTAAGCACATAGAGGTTGTATCTTTTCATTTCTGCAGCGACTTGGAATAGTTTTTCGGTCTCATGTCATGTTCGAAAATTCCATGTGCCTAAAATAATGGTTTTTCTGGTTGTGAGAAGGGGCATCGGCCTCGTGACTTCTGAAGGAACTCGGCTTTCATCATGAGACGTCATAACTATTCTGAATGAAAACCTTCTAACTCCCAGGACAGAGTTAAAATTGGGTTGAACTGATTTTTCTGGTTAGCGTTTTTTGCGAGTTAGTGTTCTACCAGATGGAGTCGCCAGCTCTCCTCCTTTATCCGGGCTTGAGACCGGCAGTAGCCCTAGAGGGGCTTTAGGAGCAGGCATAGTAATTAACATGCAATACTTCAATCTAATTCTACTTATAAATCTGAAACTGTTTAAGTGTTAGGTTTTGAGCTAAGTTTAGTTTATAATATCTAAATACATTGTTTGCTCAAAACAGATGGAAAAGTTCATGAAAAAATACATGCATAGTTGAAAATAAAAGGCTTACACTACCTAATCTCAGGAATCCTCTGAAAATCTATTGATACAAATTTGCTCGATACAGTCTTAATTCCATGAGTTCATTAAAGTAAATAATAGCATTTTTCGTTGCACTTAACTATATTTGTATAAAATGAGGTACTAGTGGCTAACACAGACACAGGAAGTTGTAAAATTTATCATACTCTTAGTGCACGCTAATGGTACAAAAATCTATTATTTTACCTACAGTTTTGAAATCTTTGGGTCAACAGTAATCATTAATTCCACATTCTATTAAAATTCGAGATTAAAATGTTTACGATAATAATCGCTAATATTCAGTAAAATCATTTAGTTTTAAATTCGTAGTATGAACTCTGAATGTTTTACATGATTCATTTCCATTCAGTTTTAGAAGACAGTATAAAATGAAACTGAAAAGCAATACTAAATATCTTTGCTAAGGAAAATTAATTTTTAAACACTTATTTCCTATTCAACTTTTAATATTTATTTAAAACTGTAGAAGTGTGTATATGTAATGTGATAAGCTGAGGACTCTTCAGTAGTCTTTTCCTTTACAATTCATAATGATGAGATGTAAAAGTGTATTGAAATTCAAATAATATTCTAGTCAACAAGGATTGATAGTAAATTATATTCAGACTTGCCGATAGGTTTAGTTTTTTCTTTGTGACTCACTAAAACGTAGTTCTCAAAACCATCCAGCTAGTTCTTCCTGCACTAGATTTTTTAACAACGCAAATATCCTACTAATGTTGTTGTAGTTTTACAAACTTTGAGAAAAAATAATTTACAAAGACACACCAAATAATAACGAGTCATTCTAAAGTAAGGATCAAACAGATGCATCAAAATATGCAATAAAAAAAAACTACTATCTGTCAGACAAAAAAATCCTGACTGAATCTAAGGTAAAATCGTCTTTTGATATACGAATATATAACTTGGTACATGTGAAACCATTGGATAACCTCACTTTAGTTAAGGCTTTAGAATTGTTTTGATTGCACAAGCGAAAGACAGTTACCATTCGAATGTTTTAAAAGATGCTATGAACTAACAGGTAAACATACCAAATGTTCAAACTACTAAACTGTTATGGCAAGCATAACATCATATTTAAATAACTGTGTGAGGATGAACAGTTAACTATCTCTTTTATCAATATTTGTGACTCAGACGCGTTAAGCTTGTTCTCATACAAATAAATTCTAATAAAGCTTCTATAAGGTCCATTACCTCTAAAACATTTATATTGTTGAGATAATTTATTGGTCATTAGAAGCAACTATGACTATAAATAACGAATTAAAAACAAATTAGGCACAAACCGAACGTCAGGTTCAGTCCAAATCTATGGCATTTTTCCTTTTTGTTTCAAAAATCGATATACATATCAAGCTTCATATATATACCAAGTTCTATCAGTTAGAGTTATTAAATATTTATAATTATAGTTTTATTTATATTGTTAGCAGTTGTAGCAACAAAAATCAGTTGTAACTTAGATTTTAACAGACACTTACATCAATTCAAGTTTCTATACCAAAAACTTAGAACATGGCAGTTCTTGAAGAAAAAAGAAGATTTAATTCATTAATTTACATATTACTTACATATGGATAAGTATAAATGGAAAACAATAAAAAACTAAGGACAAATGTTATGCAGTGTTTAGAATTTTACTGTTAACTGGCATCTTTCTGTATTCATCTATGTACACAAATGTGATAAAGTTAGTTTGAAGACACAGTTATTAGGAAATTAATTATAGTGATGCTGAAATGAAGTTCCGGAGAATTCTTCATAATGAATCTATTTTCTTACATCATTGATCGAAAGGTTACAATGAATCAGTTGTAATATTCTCCTTTCTGCTATGATAACGCGATAGAATAAAACTAAATTCATTATTGTAAATACTGTGAAACTTGAAAGTAGGATCCCACTGACAACAACTGGTAACTTGTGCCTGTTAATGATTGCCCACCCAAATAACGACAATGTAAGGCATATACGAAATATGATAAATGTAACTATTTTAAAAGAGAATAATATAAAGACAAGAAAAGCTTTTACTTTCACAGAGGCAAATTGATTTATTTCATACCATAACTTTTCAGAAGAAATAATATCACAAAATTCAATGAGTAATCATGTACTTCCTGAAATTATAAACATCATACTCGTTTCATTGGCATATTTATGACCATTAAGAATGAAATTGCCAAAGGTTTGTTCATGATACTGCAATTTAAAGAGACAAAATGATATCAGCTATTTTGAAAGATACAACTCACCTTTTCAAGAGAAAATGTTTAACCACAATCGCACAAGTTAAAACACGATGGTGACGATAGTCAAGACAATAAAATTAAAAGTAAAAAAACCAGTACATTGTAGCATTCCGGATGACACTGCTAGTTTTACTGCTGTTACCTATCGTCCTCACTGCTTTACCAATGAACTGTTTTATTAGATTTGTATAAGCTAAATTCGCAAAAATGAATAAGAATGGTTTACTCTAAACCTATCCATTTACCAAACTAAGCTTTTATCTTTCCAACAGTGAAAAGCCATTAGGTGGAAATTTTAGAAAAGTATTATAAAATGGGATATTTATTTAAGTAAAAAAATACAATATTCGTGAAACAATGAATTTAAATCACTTGATAAAGGTTAAACTTAAAACGTTAAAGGAATCATACATCGTTAATTTTTGTTTCGTTATGATAATGAATTAAATGAAACTTGTTAAAGTGAGTTCAATGAAACAAGACTAAACGAAAAAAATAATTTAGTATCTATTCATGGGGAAATTCTTACAGTGTGTATAGGTACTCTATCTGCAATGGTGATTGAAATGAAGTAAAATATTTCATAGAAGCAGGCGATTTTAAGAGGCTTTCAGTCCTTGGAAAAAAGTAAACATTCTTCACAATGATCACAACTGTGGTAAGAGGTGTTCTTTATTTTTCTTGAAGCGAGCTTATTGAAGTCAAAGTCAGTTGAGTTATTTTACTCCGTTACTTGGTTTATTGATCATATGTTGTTTTTTAAGTCCAAGTAATTTTGATTATTCATATATCAATTTGGTAGTCGCAGACCGGCTTAAAAACTTTAGACCAAATATGATTAATTGATAAGATAATATACATAAACCTCATACATGTTTTCAGTATTGTATGTGAATGTTCTTCAACGGTATTTTATTTTTTTTCGCGAAAAATTTGCTAAATCTTGAATTTATATATTTCGTTTGTGAATCATTTTTAGCATGTGCTACGTAAATGGTATCAGGAAAGCAATAAATTTACAGATTCTGATGCATATTATCTTTAATTGAAATAGAACTGACATGATAAACACTAGACTTGTTCAGTCTAATCCGCTCGAAATACGCTGTTTGAGGTGATACCATGGTAGGTAGTTTAGTTGGATCATGGTAAAAATAATAGTAGGAAATCTAAAGTCTGAAGGCCAAGTTTTACTAGAAAACTAAGGATGGATAACAGAAAGATGCTTCTAATGGATGACTAGCATGTCTTCTCACAATGAAAACAAGCAAAATCACACCTTAATCCGCTTCATTCACAAAACTACATGTACATTAAAGTAGAAAACCCAGAAATGCTATCAGTGTTCAAAGATTGTGATGATAGACAAATTGAAATTATCTTGTAAAAATGTCATAGATGTGATGCTACATATGCATTATAAAAGTGTTTCCTGCGAGTAAAAGCAGTTACTCATTATAGATTTTCTGTCACATATTTTAAGAGAACATTGTTACTGCTTCCAGATATTTGGGACTTTAGACAAAAAGAGAGGCTACACGATGAGTTGATACGTCATACGAGAAAAGCCTGATTCGACAGTAGTGTATTCGAAAAGCAAACTCATATAAAGAAGAAGATAAATTTACTCACTGGAGATCAATACTGAGAGCATTTTGTCATCTATACGTGAATAAATCTACAGAAAACGTACTAAAAACGGCATATACCTTATAATCTCTTTAAATTTCATATGTTACGACACTCATTTGAACTCTCCGCACACCCAAAAATTATATGACACTGGAAACTCCAGGATCTTATTTTGGTAGTCTAAATGAAAACTATTTGCAGCAACAACCAACAGATTACAATAAGAACTACGAAAATGAACGTGATGACTTACTGATATTTGCAATAGCATTAACTCGATAGGTCAGCGATTTCGGATCAATATCTAGCAACATCATTACCTTCCTTGCGTGCAAAAATATACTGTTCAGCTCCATTAAAAGACCAAACAATGCATAACAAACAAGAACTCTACACCAAGTTACAACGCAAAAGCAGGTCAAAACCTAAGAAAAAACGCTAATATGAATTAAAAGGTAAAAAGCTACGATTATATGATGCAATAGTATCTCCAAGGATTTAAGTTTAACACCACCACATATAATATGGTAAATATCATGAACAAAATAACCTGACAAAATGTATTTATTGTGAATTTAATATACCTGTTGCGAAACCTATAATGTGGTAAGCGAATATATTTTCCGACTCTATAATATTGTTCACTAAATCAGGATAAGAAAGAAGACTGAGAACAATATAGCCTCTAAACTGCAACCTACCAAATAAGTGAACTCAGTCCAGATATTACAGCATGGATCATAGAAATTGAATAATTCCGAAGTTTGATAAAAGAGGGAGTGTCTCTAACAATTTCATCATTTGACTGACAGTTTTTAAGAGCATAATCAATCATATAAAACAGTACAAATGCTGAAATGGAAGTGGTGTGAGTATAAGTAGAATCAATATCGTAACTCATAACGCGATCATACAGTGTCATATTTCTTGTTCCGCTGCTCATCGAATAGACTCTTATGACTCACTTAAACAATTTCATTTGACCACTGTTCCGAGAGTTAAAGGTCTTCATTCAGAAGAGTTATGACGTCTCATGATGAAAGACAAATTTCTTCGGAAGTCAGGATGCCGATACTCCATCTCACAACCTAAGCTATCCAATATCTTTTTCACGAGCTAGTATAAACTAATTGATTTCTTTGCGCTCGATTCTTGTTGTACGGCTCCAGGTGTTTGAATTTTCCAATGAATGGGGTTCTAGCCACCCGACTGTCTAATTCTAGTCAGTTAAGAATAATAATAATAAGGTTTCAGAACAAAGTAAATAAAAATATAATTTAGTTTATTAAGCGGTAGTGAAGATTGTGTGAGAGGACCGTAGTGTAATCAAGGGAGAAGGAATAGAGCTAATAAGCGAGATAGATTGAGTTAGTAATCTGAGGAGATGGCAGTGATAAAAACTAGCAGGTCTCAAGATATACATCATGCACAGCTTGTCCACGAGGGGGATGTTAATCCGTATTTGAGTATTTGATTATCAAGTCTATTCTAAAAGCTGTCCACTGAGGGGGCTGTGGTCACCTCGTCTGGGAGTAGCGACGACTCTCAATTGGAAAAAAAGTGCGCGAACCTCAGTGTTCGCTCTTTGATGTGCAGTTTTTCAAGGATTGCCATGAGGAGAGTGGTGGTGATGCATCGGTATGATGCTTACGTTGGGATGGTTTGACGTGCCTAATATGTTGTACGCCATAATCAAATCAACTCTGATTCTCCTGTAACTCAGTGGGAATAGTCCAAAGTGCTGGAGTCTATCTTCGTAAGGTTTATTCTTCAACCCTATCACCCATTCGGTCGCTCGTCTATCCACTCGATCCAAGAGATTTATGTCTCTTTCAAGCAGAGGGGTTGCAACGACGTTGTGAACCTTTAGGTGTGGGTTCGCGTATGTCCTAAATAATGTTAAGAATAATTGTGGTGTGATAGTATCAAGTTGTCTTCGCTTAAAGTAAAGAGTCTCAGCTGCCTTGGCCCCTCGGGCTCGTGTGGGGGCTTTCTGTGCTTATTAAACCGAAATCGCGCTCTGAGGAGACATTAGGGAGTGGACTTTCATTGGTGGTTTAAATCGTTTGCGTCATGTGGGGCAGTATATGCATGACGTGACACTTCGGTTGGTTGAGTTTTTAACCGTTTATCACTGCCCATTCCTCAATAGATGTAAGGTCGTTTTGAAGCTCAGCCAAATCCTCTTCACTTATGAGTCGTTAATAAATACCTGGAAGAGAAGTGGACCTAAGATGTTCAACTGTGAAGCTCCCGATATGGTTACTCGCCAGAGAGAGTAGTTTATTTCCATTCAGATTGTTGGTGTGACTCCAGCGAAGGGCTCAACAGGTCATATAAGAACTTCTGCCCATTGTTACAGTACTATGGGGCGAATATTGTTACAACCTGACGACTTTCCTGGGTGTAAGGATGGAGTGATACGGATATTCCGTAAGCCGTCATCTGGCACTGGGTTTGCGCAGTATTCTGAACATGTGAATGCTTGGTTTAACTAATCGGTAAAGTTTGTGTTGAAGATCTCGGCCATATCTAGGTTTGTGTGGTCTTTCCCATTCGGTCCTTCGAGAAAACACAACCCCTGATTCGTAGGTTCTCTTTTAGTCATGGACCTAAACAGATGCTTCTGGTTTGCCTGTATTTTGGCAGCTATATTCGTCTGAAATCGTCTCCTATCACTTGGAACTTTGGCAGTTCATCTGCTCCTCAATGTCAAATGAGGATTACAATGAGAATCCTTCAAGCAGACCTTTCACTTGTGCCAGGCTCTCCTCTTCGCTTATAGCGAGCGTTCAGTGATGTCCATAACCCATGTTTTTTCTATTTACAGATGTGTGGTGTGACTGAGGTACACTGGATGATGTCCCTCACCGTTTGTCAGTGATCATCTAATAATAATAATTTATTCTCAAATAACAAAAACAAAATCAAAATGTTGAGATCGCTAACATGCATTTTGTGAAACGTTTTTCATTTACTGAAACATTTTACAAGATACGTTGGTTTCATATAGATGGGTGAAATATTCGACATAAATTGTAGATAATTTTCCAGACACTGCAATGTACAATGCGAATAATTAGCGCGAGTTACATTGACAACCTTCACCACTCCTGTGGCGATGGGGCATGTAGGAGTATCTCTCTCATACGTGTATAATTTGCAGTAGTGTTGCAACGATAGAGCTCGTTTTCGTCCTGTGTGAGTGTTTCGTTTATGACCATGCGAAAGAAGACTGTGCCATGTTCACTAATTCCTATTGGTGTATGTACGTCAACATCCTCGACCAGCAGTTGATCATTTCTTAACAAATAATCCAGGTTCGAGGACTTCCTTAGTCCATCTAGTGGCACTGGATATGTGCTCAGTAAGCTTGGAACTTTTAATGGATGCGCCAAATCGTCTTTGGAACCAACCAGTGGGAGATGTACCCTGATTACCGAGATTTAGAGATGGGTATTGAAGTCTGCAGTTATGAATATTTGTTCAAACTCCAGAAGTGGCTGTTGCAGTACTGCCCCAGTCAGTTTGTCTTTCTGTGCTTAAGTACCTGAGGGAAGTCGGTAAATCCCTCCAATCAAGTATTTCGTGCCATTTGTGTGGAAACAACATCAACATGATTCTTTCACCTCGATTTGTAGGGTGTCGTGTAGCCTCTCGGCTTTTAAGTGCCTGTATATATATATAACCACTCCGTCTCCTGTTTGGTGTACCCTATCGCTTCGGAAGTGTCATGCCTTGCAACCTGACTTCGTCGTTTGCTATGTCAGGGGATAGCCATGTTTCAGTTAGGATTGTGATCTTCAGATCCATCTGAGAGCATATATTCCTAACTTATAACAGCTGACCACTTAGTACTCTTTCGTTGCTATAGAGCTACTTGGTGGTTTTACTCAGCCCCTCGTTCACCTCTGCAGCAACAGTCGTTGTCGGGTTTTCAAACTAGTTGTTCAAACCGAGCTGACCAGTTCTGTGAGAGCTGGCCACTGCGCGTTTTCGTCTATGCAATGAGTTCAATCGGTGAGACCATTATCTTCGTGTCTTGTGCCAGGGGTGGTTGATCGAGGTCAACTGTCAATTTTGTGCGTTATGGTGGTCTCCCTGCCGTTGTTTCACAGATCTAGGTTGGCTTTCGCAACCCCTAATGTGGCTAGACAGGTCGTTCTCGGAACAGTATCAAGCTTGGATTACCTCAGTCAGGTCCTCCCGGTTCCTGAATGTCACAACCACCAGACTTGTTGATTTGATGGACGTGGGGTGCGACGGGCGGGGCAACCCAGAAATTCAAAGAGCCGTTGGTGTGTGAAGATCTGGGCTGCGTGATAGCCATCGCCACTGTATAGCACCATGCACGTGAGCTTCGTCGAGGCTGTAGTCAGTGAGTTCGGGTACACCGTGAACTACCATGGTGGCATGGTGTTCGATGCGTTGTGTTGTCCCGGCTGCCTCTCGTACTGATTACGGTTTATCATGCCTGATACGGACCAGGAAGGACAAGTTACCTGAGGGTCTCTGTGATGAGAGAAGGATGACTTCGACCACTTTGCAAGAGGTTTCCATCTCGAGACGTTCTGACTTTTGAAAATGCAGCATATTTTGGTCGGAGTATTGCACATTCCGCAGTACTTATCCTATTTTCCTGTATCAAATTCAGCCGTACTTTCTAGTAAGATACATTGGAACACTAAATATTAGTGAATTTACTTTATCATCCCTGTCCTTGAGTGGTAGCCGCTTGGGAGTTGTGTTGTCGTCATTCCCCTTCTTCACATTCACCCACTTCTGTATTATTAACAGATATTCGGGAATTGCCATAGACTGGCGTTTTTGTCAGCGTTAGAGTTTTGGTTGTCTTGGTTACTCGTTTTACTGGTTTCGTGCCAGCAGATATTGCTTTGTCCTTTGGGACTTGTGACCTGGTTTCGGGTGGGGCCTGTAGCTTCGCCAATGATTCACATACTTTACACCGTGGGCGGATATACTAGAACCACGAGCAGGGGTGACTGAACATGAATCCAGGGTACTCTTTAGGTACTTTAGTGTAGCAGTAGCAATGTACCCATGTACTGCATTCAAAAGCAGAATTGCAGATTTTTACTGGCATTGAGCATGCGAAACAGTCATCTTTATGCGGTTTCTGTACGATAAACTGTGCCGACTGGGCCTTGGGACGCATTTTCCTCCTATTCTTATCTAGCCTACCAGTCATTTTAGGAATAGGATTCGCAGGAGTGTAGTCTACCTTCCGCTGTTCGAGACCTATTAGTGTTGGAGTTGAGTGATAAGAACTGTGGGCAATAATATGAGGAATGGTTTCAAGCGCCGGTTTTAGATTTTTCACAACCCTGTCGCTCGAGACTGAAATGTTCGCCCCACTACTGACCCCCGAGTTCATACCTCTGCAGGTTTTCCTGGTTGTTATAGTAAAAGATGTGCTAGCAACCTTATTATATACATGACAACAGAGAGATTTAGAGGTGAATGCCGAGATAATTAGGATACGAAATACACGAAATAGGAATTAAAAAAATTTAGGAAAAAAGAATTTAGTAGTATATAACATAACTACAAGGAATAGAGCCTGAAAGTACTCCAAAACCGCAACTTTACCTTTGACCGTCCTAGTTGGTAACTTGGTGTGTATCCAGTAACTTGTCCTGTGCTTGCGAGTGAATGAATATGTGTATGCTGCCGAAGCAACTAGGAAGAGAGCAGTTGGTCGAGACAGCTAGACTTACCGCACAATGGTTCAGACTTGGAATGATTCCGATTGCCGGAAATTCTACTCAGGTTGCCAGTCAGTGAATAGAGACAACTTTCAAAGCTTCGGGAGTGATTAAATATCCCAAACTAGAGTCCGAAAATGGATTGTTTTCTGTAGATTGTGGAAGTCAGTAATTTATTTACGTGGAATGTTGATACAATTTGGGAGGCCGGGAAGAGTC